CTCCTCCTCCTCTGTCCGGTGCTGGTGTGGGGTGAAAATCCTCCATTTCAGACATTCAGAGATGTAACTATGCGATACTGTGGTCACTTTCCATGTAGCATCAATTATGCTAATGCTAGCTGCCTGTCACGTTCTCTCGTCCTGGCCACACCTCCGCTCTCTAACCCCCCCCTTCCCCTACCCACACCTGCTCACCTACCCACTTTGATGCATTTTTCAAATTTCGCCTTGGGGCGGAGTTATCTTTTGACAGTGGGGTAAGATACACTTTAAGGTTTAGACCTTAAAAAAAGCAGTCCATACCACCACACTTACTTCTCCATACTTGAAAAAAAATCCATCTTTAGCAACTCTCCTGTCCATAAAACATTCAAGCAGTTTGTCTTAAAATAGTTTTACACACAATGTTGACTCTTTATTTTGTAAATTTTATAGAGTTGCTTCTTAACTAAAGTGGTGATAACACTTAAATACATACTTAATGTTATTTTTATTACTTTTTTGTGGGTCGTGTTTGCATTTTTAATTAAAAGCAAAAAACTGCTTTTATGACTGTTCACATTCATGGGTCATAAATCGTTTTGAACAAGGTTATTCAAGTCTAAGTTTTGAAAGCCAACACTTCCCCCGTGTGGTGATTTTTAAAACTACACACAAGAATCTGAGTCATTACATTTTTGAAGGCATTAAATAAGTGTTGTAATACTTTTGTATTTATTCTCACTTTTTAAAATTGATGTGGAGGACAATGCGTACAGACAACATTTTAGGGAAAGATGATATTTTTAAAATGTAAAACAATAATTCCCGTCCATTTTGCACTATGATATTTACTGGGGAATTATTAAAACATAAAAAAGTGCTTCTCACATCTGAAGCCGTCAGCTCTCATTTTTCATATTATCTTGTAAATCTTTTCATTTAAAGTTGTATTGCACAGTATTTTTTGTTAAAATAGATTGTTTTGTAATGATATTTTTCCTGCTATGACAGCAGATTATCATATGCCACCTCGGGGTGCAGCGTGTTTCTTTAAAAAAAAATTAATAATAAAATACCTGAATGAGTAATGAAGGCAAAGCAAGAACAGTACAACTGCTTATAAAAAGCATGGCCCTAGGGAAAGACAATTTGGTGAAAGCTTGGCACCAAACCTTAGCGATGAATTTGACTGTTGTTCCAGCTACTGTTTGCTAAGATTTGAGTTAAGAATAACTTTGTTCGTGGAAAAATCTTCTGCTTTTATGCCTGTCAAAGTTTATTTGTCTTCGGCTTTTGGTTTTGATGCAGCTAAAGAAATGGGATCATGCTGCTAGAAGAGTGCCATACAAAATACAATGCAATGTTGTGTTCTGCTCATTCATGTCATATCACTTTGGTCTGTGAGTTTAGGTGCTGGGTATGTTTAAATCATAAGTTAATATTAGGTGGCTTAACAAAACAAAACAGATAATACTATAAATGACTAATTACAACGTCTAAGGGAAACGTTGATTAATGACCTGCAGAAAGGCCAACAAAGTCAATGCTCAAGGTCATTATAAAGGATCACAACAAACTCTGACTTCTTAACATGAAATACTGTATGTAGCTAAAGGCTTTTGCGCAATATTTTAATTAGATGAGGTCATATGTTTAGATATGATATTAAAAAGAAAAATGAAGCCTTTGTAAGAAATACAAGGAGAAAAGGCTTATTTTCAGTTCTAATGTGTTCGTTTGGAGTGATTCGTCATCGTGAACATACACGATCTTTGACCACAGCCGAGGGCTGGCCGAGAGCCGCCGAATATCTCCGAAATCCCCGCCTCTTCCTCCGCCCGATTGTGTCCGCTCGTCCTTTCCCCTCACTATCAGCTAGAAGCCTCGGGCAGGAGGGTGCGCAACACAACGCACTGACAGCTGCGATTCACTCACAACCGCGAGGGGGGAAAAGATGGAGCACAGAGACACGGACTTCAACATTCTGTTAGCGACCGATTCATACAAGGTAATGCGATGAGCTCGGTCGGGGAGGGGGAGGCTCGGGTGAAGCGGGAATGAAAATTGATAAAGTCAAGGTGGTTCCATCATCACTCTCAATCAAGGCCACCGCACTGACTGCTCTGTGTGGCCGGTAACATCCGCGGGGTTCACCGCAGGCCGACTGAGCTGGAGGAGGAGGAGGGTACAGCCAAGACGGGGTACCATTTTCAAGCAGAAGGCATCTCTCTGAGGCTCGTTTGGGATAAATGCTAGTATTAATGGAGTCAAGCAGTCCTCCACCGGCTTTCATGGTCACGGTCCAGCTAGTCGCGTTAGCTAGCTAGCTCACACCGAGCGCAGGGGGCAAACAGAGCGGGGTTGACATATTATTTTAAATCGCTAATATTAGCCATTAGCTAGCAAGTGTTGGGTAACCTGGTKAACTGCACGTGGGCTCTCTGTTTTACTAGCTACATCAAACGCTAGCCAGCTCCGCTTTCGAGAAAACAAAACTGAAACGAAAACTGAGAAAACAAGTCGCTTCTCCTCTACAGCCAAGCTTTGTTTCTCTGACACGCTCGGGAAAATGCCTGTGCCCTTTTTAATGGTCTGCTCGAGGTTTTAATTACAATGTAAATGAAGAGCAAACGCACTTAGCTTGTATTTTATTGCACGTAGTCAGTGGTTGCCATGCACATCAGTCATGTGACGATGAATTTAGCGGCGCTGATGTTTAAACTAAAAGACCAAATGCAAACATGGAAATGTTGTCAGACTATGGTTTAATCGTGTTACAGCCCGATGAATAAACATTTATAACTAAAAACACGAAAAAGGGAATAAAATGACAAAATTAGTGTGACTTCAATTAAACAAAACATACCTTTTTATGTGCGTTTCTGTTAATAAAAACGCTTCTATGACTTGTATGTATGTGTACAACTTGAAGGTACTCACTGTAAGCTATAAAGTATCTTCCTTTACAGGTGCTGGTCATAAAATTAGAATATCATGAAAAAGTAGATTTATTTCAGTAATTCCATTTAAAAAGTGAAACTTGTATATTGTATTCATACATTACATACAAACTCATATATTTCAAATGTTTATTTCGTTTAATTTTGATGATTACAAATGACAACAAATGAAAATCTCAAATTCAGCATATCAGAAAATTAGAATCTTGTGAAAAGGTTCAAAATGGATGGCACCTGGTACCACACTCTAATCAGCTAATTAACTCAAACCACCTGCAAAGGCCTTTAAATGGTCTTTCAGTCTAGTTCTATAGGCTACACAATCATGGGGAAGACTGCTGACTTGACAGTTGTCCAAAAGACGACCATCGACACCTTGCACAAGGAGGGCAAGACACAAAAGGTCATCGCTAAAGAGGCTGGCTGTTCACAGAGCTCTGTGTCCAAGCACATTAATAGAGAGGCGAAGGGAAGGAAAAGATGTGGTCGAAAAAAATGTACAAGCAAGAGAGATAACCGCACCCTGGAGAGGATTGTGAAACAAAACCCATTCAAAAATGTGGGGGAGATTCACAAAGAGTGGACTGCAGCTGGAGTGAGTGCTTCAAGAACCACCACACACAGACGTATGAAAGACATGGGTTTCTGCTGTCGCATTCCTTGTGTCAAGCCACTCTTGAACCACAGACAGCGTCAGAAGCGTCTTGCCTGGGCTACAGAGAAACGGGACTGGACTGCTGGTGAGTGGTCCAAAGTCATGTTCTCTGATGAAAGTAAATTTTGCATTTCCTTTGGAAATCAAGGTCCCAGAGTCTGGAGGAAAAGAAGAGAGGCACTTCACCCACGTTGCTTGAAGTCCAGTGTAAAGTTTCCACAGTCAGTGATGGTTTGGGGTGCCATGTCATCTGCTGGTGTTGGTCCATTGTGTTTTCTGAGGTCCACGGTCAACGCAGCCACATACCAGGAAGTTTTAGAGCACTTCATGCTTCCTGCTGCTGACCAACTTTTTGGAGATGCAGATTTCATTTTCCAACAGGACTTGGCACCTGCACACAGTGCCAAAGCTACCAGTACCTGGTTGAAGGACCATGGTATCCCTGTTCTTAATTGGCCAGCAAACTCTCCTGACCTTAACCCCATAGAAAATCTATGGGGTATTGTGAAGAAGAWGATGCAATACACCAGACCCAACAATTCAGAAGAGCTAAAAGCCACTATTAGAGCAACCTGGGCTATCATAACACCTGAGCAGTGCCACAGACTGATCGACTCCATGCCACRCCGCATTGCTGCAGTAATACAGGCCAAAGGAGCCCCAACTAAATACTGAGYGCTGTACATGCTCATACTTTTCTTGTTCATACTTTTCAGTTGGCCAACATTTTTATAAATCCTTTGTTTTTATTGGTCTTCAGTAATATTCTAATTTTCTGATATGCTGAATTTGAGATTTTCATTTGTTGTCATTTGTAATCATCAAAATTAAAYGAAATAAACATTTGAAATATATGAGTTTGTATGTAATGTATGAATATAATATACAAGTTTCACTTTTTAAATGGAATTACTGAAATAAATCTACTTTTTCATATTCTAATTTTATGACCAGCACCTGTAAATCAAATAATGAAGTCTCCTATATATATTAAGTTCATAAATGCGGGTATGCACTCATTGTAAACAATCACAAACGTGCATCTCCTTCCTAAAAAGGCCCAGTCACACTACTGTTTTAGCCAACTTACGCCAAGTTTTATTATTATTATTTTTAAATGACTAAATTACTATTAAAAATTATATATTTGATCAATTTCTTAGCATTACAGTATGCACATGCCTAAAAACAGGCTTTCAGTTGATTTTTTTTTTTTTTTGGTAGGATCTTTAAAATTTTTAAAAGTTGTCTAAAATGTTGTATTGTGACAGGGCCTTTAACTCCACACTTATGGACGTGATCATTGTTGATCTTTTCTCCGTCGTTTCAGCTGTCTCCATAAATAAACAAAAGCACATGGTAACTTCCATTCAATTACAAATTTTACTGACTAATGTTTGATTAAGTAACACATAGATTATGAATGAAAAGTGTGTGGATTTGGTGTCTTTGCTGKATGATTTCTGTGTATTTAATTTTATGTTTCAACCAGTCTTTGTGATTTTGCAGTACGCACCTTTTTTAATAATGAATTGTTTTAACTCCATTTTAAGTTTAAATAGCCATAGTCGCACGAGTTCAGTGCTTCTGTCTTGTAATTACAAGCCCGCAGGTCTGAGCCCAGGTTGAGTCAGGATTGGGCGTCATTTGTAGAAGAATTGCTAAATCTGTCACGCCATAGCTCATTGTGTCGACACCTGCAGAAGGGAACAGCTGAAAGAAAAACGAAAGCTTAAAATTGGGGGTGGGGGTGTATTTATGTGTGTTCTGTTATGTGAGTCAAACCATGGCCGTTTCTTAAAATAATACATCAATTGTTCCAACTTAAACGTCAAAGACTGAAAAACAGATCATGCTTCAAACTTGATTTTCAGCTGTTATCAGTTACAAACAAAATTTGTCGGGCTCATTAGCTCATTAGATGGTTAACCAGGTGATTTGCTTTTATGGGAAATATTATTGGATGTGTCATTTTTTTGTGTTAAAGAATGACTTTTTATCTATGTTCAGGGTCACTAATTGTAAGTATTTTGAAACTAGTTTCATATCTGGGATCAGCACACTCAGTTTCATTCCTTTGGAAAGACAACTTCTGCTCTCTGTTTTCCACAGGATTGTGAAAACCTTAGAGCATTTGTTAGAAATTCACGAGAAAGCAGGAAACGCCTACTTTTTCTCAATGCACCTGTTTTGCAAGATAGATGTGCAGTTGTTTACATTGTAGTTTCTTTTCCCAAGGCGTTACAAATGAATTAATATTTTTCTACTCACTGTATAGTTTTCCATATAGCTAAAGAAATGATTGGGGTTTAGATTTATATAACTGATTTAAATTACATACACGTGGTATTGTTTTATGATAGAACTGTAATGATTGTTAAATGTGACTGTTTTACTTAACTTGATCATTCTATATTAATAGATGCATGCCTGGAAACAAATCCAACACATAACTGAGCATTTAATTCTTCATTAGGGGAGGTTTTTAATGTCTGAGGTACATGGCTTCTAGAGAACGACAGGGACCCTCCACTGATGACGTAATCAAGTAGGCGGAGCCAAGCCCTGAAGCTTTTGTTAAAAATGAATGCATTTCATCATTGCGGTCTGAATTCTTGGTGACTCATTAAAAACTAGACTTCTGCAAGAGCACTCTTGGTTTTGTATGGGTTTCTCTTTAATAATTCAAAATAAAAAGGTAGCAGAAGAAAAATAAATCTTATGTCTGCCCCTTTTCTCCTCAGAATATATTCAAACGAAACATAATTTACAAAACAATACTAAATAAAATAAAATAAAAACATGAACTCAAACAACAATTCAAATAGCTTCACATTTTACTTTTCATACAACTTCAAAAAACTAGCTTTTATGTGTCTTTTAAATATATACATAGGTCTGGCATTTTTAAGATCATCCTCCAGACCATTCCGGCTATACCCTGGATTAAAGTACATTTTTCTTTCAAGCAAGTAGAAAAATATGTCTTCACAAACATTAAGGTAATAACAACTGTCTTTCTTAACAAAGTTTACCTGAATGTTGGAAGGTAATATGTTTAAAATAATAATAATTCTGCCATGCATTTGGACATTGTTCGTATAGTTAAGCACACATTCTGGTAATGAACACGAATAACTATATTTTCTTTTCACAGCGTCATACGTAGAAGCTACATAATGTAAGACCTTATGCTTTATCAGTTGAACTGAAATGCATTTTTGGATGAATTGTGGACATAAACRCGTAAAAAGAATTTGTATTTAAAAAATTCTGTTTTAGAATTCATAAATATTTGTCTGAGCAAATCATCAAACCAAACTATAGGTATCTCATTTTAATTTCACTTTCAAGTAAAAAACGTTTTTATGCAATGAAAATCCATGTGATACA